TCAGCAACAGTTTGAGGAGAAGCAATAGGCACATTTTGTGAGTTGATTATTGATGGCACTTCTCCCTGAAATGATGCTGAAGCTGGACCAGGAAAAGTGTTGACAGAAACTCCCATAGATGAATTTGTATGTGGTGGCTGAGATGTTCCAACTAAACCAGAATTGCTAGTTGGGTTCCAGTAGACAGAATTTGGTGTTGGTTGTCCTGCCATAACTCTGGCCATTAGAGCTTGAGCTTCATGAGTAGATACACTTGGAAAGTGGCCTTGTGATCCTACTAGATTACCTACTCCAGTATTACTAAAACCAGTAGGAGTTCCAATATGTCCAGTATTGGTAAAACCTTGAAAACCATGATCAAATCTATGGTAACATTGGAGTGCAGAGTGCCCCCCTTTGCCACAGACCTGACATATGAGACGTGGCCGAAAATGTCCCCTTCCTCTGCCTCTACCCCTCATTCCTTGTGGATTGTACATAAACATAGCAGAGGGGATGAACTGATTGGAGTTATCTATGGTTGGAAGAAACTGATTCTGATGAGGCAGATTGTATTCAGGTCTGTAACTTGTCTGATTTGCATTATTTGCTCCAAAAAGGGAATTATGGAAAAATTGGTGTTGTGGAGTGGTAGGAAGCTGCTGAGTCTGTAAAGCAACATTGTTCATGGCAAGAGATTTGAAAATTTTTGACTGATCAGTGGTGAGATCATTTTCAGGCATGACCATTTTACTTTGTGGGATACTGGAAGTGTCATTAGAGCTCTGTTTTGCAGCTATCAACGCTGAGGCTAATTGTTCATGAAAACTTCCAAATGCATTCTGCTGTCTCTCCAAACGAATCTCATGCTTGTGAAGTAAAAATTGAGCTTCTTGTAGTGTTATTTCACTGCTATTTGAAACCAGATTTGCTACTACTGCATCATACTCAGCCCCCAAACCATCCAGTACATAGAGTAATAACTCTTCATCACTTATATGCACACCACTCGAAATTAATTCATCTCCTAGTTCCTTCATCTTTAAAACATACTCGTTTATACTGCAAGAGTCTTTCTTAGTATTTTGCAACATGTTTCTAAGGTGCAATGTTCTAGCTTTTGATACTGACTGAAAATGTAATTCTAATAGATTCCATATTTCATAGGAGGTGCTACATTTAGCTACATGACGGAACATGAATTCAGATATGGAAGATAGAAGCCAACTTACCAGGAATTGATCAACTTTCTTCCAAGTGAAATAATCTGGATTTGACTTCTTTAAAGTTTTCCCTGAATCATCTTCTTTCTCAACTAAGAACACCGGCGGACAACTTCTTTCTCCAGTTACAAAGTCGTCAAGTCCATGAGATGTTAACGCTGGCAAGATTTGAGAACGCCAGAAAGTGTAATTTTTCTCTCCCAATTTTACAGAGATAGTCGGCAAAGTAGGAGGAAAGTTCGAATTCGTGAAATGGGTGAGATCAGTATCCATTTTTAGTAGCGCGAATCTGAATCAAAGAAGTTTAAGGCTGAATTTTGACAGAAATTGGAAAAGAGATTGCCTTTGACGTTGGTCTAGGGCTCTGATACCATGAACGATTTTGAATCAATAACCAAGAATCAAGAAGGAAAAGAGAAAAATAAGGAGAGAAGAAAAATTCTGGAAAACTGATTACTTTACTCTTTCGTTTTTCTTACTAACTAATACAAAGTAAACTGACTTGTTTTATACACATACTGACCGTATCCTTTTGTAAATGAGTAATGCTATCAATCCATTTAGCAGCTGAGTAATAATTACTTCACTTATCCTATTATTCTATAATTAAAAAAAGGTTGCCAAATTGATTGTCAATTAGGATATAAATTTAGGATTCCAACTTTATATATTTAGCATCCCCGTTTGTAAATATATTAATTACCAGAAAATTTATGATAACATAATGATACAACATCAACAGTAATTAATTATATGTGGTAAGAATCTTATCCCAAGAAATCCATTGGGAATCCAGAATAACTCAAGGTGATACACTTTTTCCTTTAGTCTATAAGCAAAAATTCAACTATGAAAATGACCACAATGTGAAAGAGAAATCAATATCGTTTTGACTGTGAAATATATTCACCAGCCATTGTCATTGACGCGTTATCTGATAATAAATTTGTACAGCAACAAGTCTAAAATTCTTTTATCACAAGTTTATTGTGGTTTCTGCCAACAGCATGTGAAATGGAACATGGCCTTCCTCCTTGTTTATCACTCGTTGGAAAAAAAATTATAGGCCCTATCTTCTTGTGAAATAATGACGTAGAACGTCTGAGGAATGAATTCAAGAAGCAAGCTGAACGTTAGAAGTCTATGCGTAAAGTTCAAAGACCCTAAATGAGCATGTCTCATTCAAATTTGTTATTTTTGAAATTTCAACATTTTTTATGAGTGCAAAAAGAGTTTATGTTTGAGCTTCTCTTAGAAGTTACAAGATAGTTTTTTTATAACTGTATAACCACTTTCGAAATGCAACAAAACAACCTAAAAAAATTCTAAAATACTTTTATGATTAAAAGAAAAAAGAAAACTATTTTGTACAGTAAAGAAATCCAACCAAATATGCTCCTAGCATGGGTGAAACAAACAAATTCCAGAGTATATTTTATTGGTCAATATTTTTTTCTATATTTCCTTTTTGACATGTGTAGAGAGTGAAATTCTATAGAAAATCTGGTAGGTGGACGATAAATAATAAGATATATTCACCAATTTTATTAAGAGTTCATACATATATATATATATAGAGATCTAAAATCAACCTAATTTTCTACCACATCAGACTCTCTACACATTAGATGAGAACCCCTACCTTTCCTATCACATGGCATCAACTTAATATAATGATCACTTTCTAGGTCACTCCTTTGATAAGTATTAATTTTTCACTCCAGAACGGAACATTGATTTGATCTTATAATCAATATTCAATCTCAAATGAAAAACAATTATTAGATTCAAGACCAAGATAGGATAAATTTTATGATTTGAGTGGATCCCTCTTTTTTTTTTCTCTAATGGTTATCACAACATTTCCAACATCAAACTAGATTAAATCAGCTTGATTATATCAACTGTGGTGTGTATGAAAGATAAAATATGGTACACTTCATCTGGGAGTGTTTGAGAATAAAAAACAAGAATCATATGGAAGTGGTTGAGAATAGGAAACAAGAAGAGAAGAGCGAGCACACAGATATCCTGGAGCCAACAACTTTCTGCAAAAAAAGTTAATTATGAAAATAGCCGCTGGCCACCACGTACGCAGGGGAGAGAGGTCGATAGCAATTTTGAACGTTGTATATATTTTACATAGTCACCTCACCGCTCAAAGCCAAAGCCGCGTCATCGAAATAGTCATTTCATCTTTCAGGACAAAATAATATTTGAACCCGTGAAAGACCACAGTGTGAAAGAGAGAAATCCAAACTCTTTTACCGCGAGTTTATTGTTGGTTTCTGCCAACGGCAGGTGAAATGGAACAATGCCTTCCTCCCTGTTTATCACATGTCGGAAAAGTTTTATAGGTCCTATCTTTTGTGAAATAACACTTTCTTACCCTCGGTTTTGGGAACTATCATCTGCGGTTCATGCATCTTTACTCTCGGATGGGTTAAATTTATATTTTATCTACTTTTCCTATATTTTAGCTTTACTTTACATAGAATATGTGCCCTTCGCGCGGGGAGGTGGGGAACGCCAAGATTCTAATCAGTGGGTAGCCCGAACACATTTTATGTTCAACTAATAAAACTTTCTATAACTATATATAATATGTTTCACAATTATTCATTAAACATTTCACCTCGTATATTACAAGTTTGAAGTTATGTCTTATGACAATATATATTTTATATATAATGATAGAAATTTTTTTTTTTTTTTTAAATACAAATTTTAAGAGGAAAGATTCTAGAGACCGTTACAAAAATTTGTTTTATTTACAGAACTAAATCACCTCCATTTCTTCAGCGTCTCCATAGGACCCAGTAAAATTAAAACATTTCAATTAAAACCGCTACCTTTTCCGTCACATGGATGATATCAGCATCCTGACATCATCAATCCCAACGATGATGACGTCATTGCTTAATATACCGATCAGTTTCTAGGTCACTCCTCTGACATGTATTAATTTCATTTTAAACCTACTATTTCAAGATGCGACCAAAATAGCTCCATTATCTCTTTCACTCCTTTGTAATAGTGGCATAACCGAAGATTTATCCATACATGATTCCACACCAAACTCTCAATATTTTCACTCTCCAAAAGCCAAAAGAGAACTTGCATATTATATAGAATTCAATTCAATAATATTATCGATCAATCGATCAAACTACAGACATTGGCTATTGGTTTGATCAATATGGTACTTCAATGTAATATTTTGCAATATTTGGGTGTGTTGAGTATATAAAACAAGCACAGATATCTAGGAGCCGACAACTTTTCTGCAAAAAAATAATTATGAAAATAGCCGTTGACCGCCACGTAGCATGTTGAACGCTGTATATAGTTTACATAACCTCACGGCAAAGCCAAAGCCAAAGCCGCGTCATCAAAACTGTCAATTTACTTTCAGGACAAAATAATGGGAATCCGTGAAAGAGATATTGATTTATTAAAAAAATTTATCAATTCATAATAAATTTCAATAAATTTTATATTATAAACTTTATATTATAATAAATTAATAATTTTGTTAAATTCTGTTTTAAAGAATTTATTTCTATTTTATAATAATAATCTATATATTATATTAAATATTTCTATAATAATATTTTATATAAAAGTAATCTTCATATAATTATAAAAATTTTAATTCTAACTTAAATTAATTATAACAAAGTTTTAGAAGCTAACTTAAAGTGAAACCGACAAAATAGTCCGATGGGTTGAACCACAGATCGGATTAATGACATCATCATTGACCTTTCTTCATCCTTATCAGTCATCACTCCATTAATGTTTCTGTTTATGTACTTCTCCTTCTTTTGTCTCATTGGTCATGATTCCCTCACCTCTCATATGTGGAAACGTGTCCACCAAGTACACTTTTCACTTCAGTTCTTTTTCAATGACATTTATTAAGCCTCTCAATGACATTTGATAATCCAAACTCTATTGTCTTTTTCTGTGAAAGTTTATTGAACGCAATTTATTTTTAATCTCTTCCACGTTGAAATTGCAGGAACGAAGAATAGTAGAGAGAGAAGGCTTCAACGGCTTCTTTCTCCAACAGTCTTCGTTGTTCTTCACTCTTTCATTTCTACTTATTTTAATTTATAAAGCTCTTCCGACTCTTCAGCTTTCGTCTAATCAAAAGGTGCACGCCTTCTACACCAAAACACACAAAACATTCACTCTTCTCGTTTGACAAAATTCTCATTTTCTTCTCTCTCATTGGTTGTGTGTTGTCACTATTATAAATTTTTTTTTATTTTTTTATTTTTGTTATTTATTTTTAAATTTATATTTATGTTAATATGATTATTATTTATATTAATATTTATAATAATAAATTCATAATAATTATATAATTCAAAAACCTTTTGCGTGCAAATTACTTAACTCTTACGCCAAATTGGGAACCTCACAGGAACCCAACGCACTCTTCAGTCAAATTCAAAACCCAGATATAGTTTTACTTTTATGGACATGTCTCATTAATCTTCACGTGCAAGTTCGAGAACCCAGAAAAGCTTTGTGGGTATTTTCTCGTTTAATTTGTAGAACTATAGAACCTGATAGCTATTCTGTTGTTGCTGCTTTATCAGCTTGTAAATGTATAAAAGATTTGGCTTGTGGTAGGATAGTTCATGGGATAATTGTCAAGTTTTCATTAGGGTTTGACCCAATTGTGGGTAATGCGTTGATTGATATGTATAGCAAGAATAAAGATATTGAATCGACTGAGATAGTTTTTAAATGTCTGGAGTGTAAAGATATTGCTTCATGGAATAGTTTGCTTAATGGGTTTGCAATGGTCAATGATTTGGAGTCTTCTCGCCTGGCGTTTGATGAAATGCCTCAGAGAAATTCGGTTTCTTGGAATGCAATGATAACCGGTTATATTCGAGGGAGGGAAATAGTTGAGGCATTGGAACTTGTTTTTCCAATTTCTGCTTTGAAATGAGGAAGTGTTACACGCTTTTATCAAAATCTTTCTTATTATGATAATAAACACACCAAACAGTTTATTCTTGTCATTCCTTTTATATTATTCAAAATGCATACTCTGTAGAAAACATATGGGCTGTTTGATAGATTATTTGAAAAATGATATTCTGATAAACTATTTTAAGTTGAGTTAGATTAAATCGAATGGGATAGGATTCTAAGAATATATTTGGTATAATATTTTAAATTATATAAGAGTTGGATAAAATGCTAAAAAGTTGTTTGGTACATTTTTTAAAAACATTTTTTGAAATTATTTAGATTATTTTTAACTCCCTATGTTTGTTAATTTAGTTAAATACCTCCACAATAAAAGTTTAAAAATTAACAAAAACACCCCACCCACCAAGTCACAGTTGACCACCAGCCACTACCATCAGACGACAGCCGAAAATAGTCAAAACGGTGCACGATCGACTGGATCTGGCATTTCCAACTAGATCCACAGTGAATCTGATCGGAAATAACCAAATCGGCACACGACCGATCAGATCAAACTAGCGACAGGCTGTGGTGGTCTTGGATAGATTAATTTTCATATTGGAACAAGTGAAAAGTAATTATTTTTAGTTGAATAGAATATAATAATAGAAAACAAGTCCCCTCCTAGAGGCATTTCTTAAAGAAATAAAAATTTCTTACATTGGCTGCTCCACCAATACAACATTTTTGAGCTGACTCACAAGGAGTGTTTATAACAAACTCTCCGGTGTTTGAATCATAAGTGGTAATTGTTTCTGTTATGCCTGGGAAATCAAGAGCTGACGTGGGAAATCACGTGATGGGGGTGACCTGCTCCCGTTAGAACGGTAAGCACACGTCAGGCATGCAAGGCGTCGTGGAGTTCCCACGTGTCCATTTTCCTGCTCCAAATCGCGTAAAATCGGCTTGGAAGGTGGGCAATGGGACGTAAAGGCGGATTTAGTCCTAACATTCGCATCAACCCACGGATTTAATGATGGTTATCTACACTCATCTCACTATAAAAAGGAAGGATCTTTTCATTAAAAGGATTCGGCTTTCTTGCGCTCTAAACTAGCTTTCCCTCTCTCTTATCATTATACTTTTGTATTTACTTTTCCCGAATTTTTTGTAAGTCAGTCCGCTGTTGCGACTTGACCCACGATTCTAATACAAACTATCAGTGGACGTAGGATTTGCTACCTTAGCATCCGAACCACTTTAAAAAGCTCTCATTGTTACATTTACTCTACNTCTCTAACTAATACTTTTGCTAGACTTAACAGAGACTTTGAACTAAACTTCAACGGAATCCTTCGTTTTTTTTTTAGATAAAGAAAAATTTACACCCCAATAGTCCCCTTCAGGCTCAACTGAAGTGTAACTTCTGTGATAGAGCTTGCCATATATAAATCTTGACTTCTACAAAACAATTAAAAAATACTAAGCTATATATAAAACTAACAACTTCAACTTTAAAACGAAATTTAGTTTCTCACGAACAAAATTCATTAATCAAACGGTAAGCACACGTGATGGGGGTGACCTGCTCCCGTCAGAACGGTAAGCACACGTCAGGCATGCAAGGCGCTGTGGAGCTCCCACGTGTCCATTTCCCTGCTCCAAATTGCGTAAAATCAGCTTGGAAGGTGGGCAATGTGACGTAAAGCCGGATTTAGTCCTGACATTCGCACCAACCCACGAATTTAATGATGGTTATCTGCACTCATCTCACTATAAGAAGGGAGGATCTTTTCATTAAAAGGATTCGGCCTTCTTGCACTCTGAACTAGCTTTCTCTCTCTCTTATAATTATACTTATGTATTTACTTTTCCTGAATTTTTTGTAAGTCAGTCCGCTGTTGCGACCTGACCCTCAATTCTAATACAAACTATCAGTGGACGTAGGATTTGCTACCTTAGCATCCGAACCACTTTAAAAAGCTCTCATTGTTGCATTTACTCTACATTTCATCCATAATCACGTGTGTCTCTTGACCAATCAACGTTACACACGTGTCGATTAGTTGGTGTCAAAATCCCGCATCAACAGTTTTGGCGCTAGAAGGAGGGCCTGGTTTAGTGTTCATCCTTCATCAAGAGAATCTTCAAGCTATTGGTCCTACAGCAACAAATGGCCCACCAATCTGAACCTGAGCAAGCCAACCAGCGCACTGAGGGAGTTCCCCTAACCCAAGGGGATACCCCTTCCAGGATACTTCCAGTTTCACAAAATGCTGCGGTGGATATCCCGGCAACTTCGAGCTTGACCCCGCCATCAGAAGCTACCTGGAGAGGTTCGACAATACTCTCCAGACGGTCAACCAGAGGCTAGACCGTTTGGACCAAGGCATATCATCTAGAACAACTGGGGCGGTGCAACCGCCAGAAACGCCTGCAGGTCGCGTGAAAGCGCGGCAGAGGGAAATAGCCCGTGCCGCGAGCACTGCAGTGCGTAGACGTAAGGGCAAGCAAGTGGCAAAAAACAAGCCTACGGGCTCCCAAGGACTAGCGAACACAAATTTTGCCCCAAGCAGGGTGCCGGCAAAGCTGAGACTCGACGAAAAAGTGAATCCCGAGCTGTCCCATGCCACGTCACAGATGAACCCAAGCAAAAGTGCCCGGCGCGACAATTCCTATCACCGCCAGTAGAACGATCCTGATCGCTATCATGCAGGTGGTCCCCACACCTCACGAGGCGGTTCGTACCACCACGAGGGTCGTGAAAATGCCCCGCACAATCCATCGCCTTCACACGCCTCTAGTCAGCATGTGTCGAGAGCGGCCGGAAATGCCGACCAAGGCGAAGAGGAGTCCGAACTCCAGACTTTCCTGAACCGTAATCGTGAAGGCCAGACTCGTATGGGTGAAAGCAATCCCCAATTAGCTCCGTTACCACAAATTGAGGAGCTACAGCGAGCTCTGGATAGGTTAAGGGAGCAGCAAAGCGAGCAGGCCCAGGTCGCCTCTGCATCCCCTTTCTCTCCCGAAGTGCTAGCTGATCCACTCCCACTGGGGTTCAGAATGCCTGACATGCGGCCGTTTGATGGGAACCATGACCCACAGGATCATTTGTATGAGTTCAACAACCTGATGGAGCTCCACCAGGTTTCAGATCTTGCAAAATGCTGTTGTTTGGCCGTGATGCTGACTTCTCATGCCAAGCGGTGGTTAAGGTCGCTCCTAGCGGGATCGATCAGTTCATGGCCTCAGATGAGCACGATGTTCCTACGGCATTTCCAAGCAAATCGGAAGTTTTCGATGCCTTTGAGCTACCTCAGCAACATAAGGCAAGAAAGAAACGAATCCCTACAATCTTACATCGACCGTTTCCACAGGGAACTCAACAAGGTGGCTCATGCCCCCGAAGAGTCCATCCGAACGCTTATAATAGCTGAAGTTCACCCGCAAACTGACATGTGGAAAGAACTACAGGCTGAGGACGATGTTTCCCTCACCAGATTTTACAACCTTGTAGAAAAATATCTCTGAATAGAGAACTCATTGGCGGCACTCCACCGTCGCGATCACGGCACTTCAAGTAGTATGTCTGGTTGGGGGGAAGGTAGGAGAATTGATCGCAAAGGGGACATCGACGATCAGCGAAAAGGGAAGAAACCACACTACTAGCGCAAAAAGTTCTATGCTACTGTTCCTCGTTGCGACCGAGACAAAGTTCAATACACTCCGTTGAATGTGTCCATATCCGTAATTCTTGACAAATCCGAGGAGGCCAGCTTGCTTGGTGAGCCGGAACCCATGAAAACCCCTACTACGGCCAGAAACAGCAAAAAATACTATCGTTTCCATCGGGACAACGGGCATCACACCGATGAATGCTGAGCTCTAAAGCAGGTAATCGAAGAGCTCATCAAGAAAGGGCACTTCAAGGAGTATATTGATGACTCTGCTCCGAAAGAGAACCAAGGGGAGTAAAAGAAAAAGCGTCGTGATTGCAGCGGATACAATAGTGTTAACATAATCTTCGGAGGCCCGCACCTCACGGGAAACACGCAAGGTGCGCAGGAAAGGTACGTTCGCGAAGCATATCATGACCCGATCAGGGTAATGAACACTTTGCAACGACCGTAAAAGGCTCGAAAGGAGGAGCCGATCACCTTCTGCAGAAAGGAAGCAGCTCGCTTGCACCATCCTCACGAGGACGCTCTGGTGATCACGCCCCTGATAGGGTGCCATAATGTCTACAGAATGCTCATGGACAACGGAAGCGCTGTGAACATCCTATTCCAGACTGCTTTCGAAAGAATGAACCTAGACGAGGCCGACCTGAAGCCCGCCTCGATACCTCTTTACGGTTTTACAGAGGACCACCTGATCTCCAAAGGAACGATCCAGCTCCCAGTCACGCTCGGCGACTACGACGAGGTGACTAAGATTACCGAATTTTTGGTCGTAGATTGCCTATCGGCCTTTAATGGAATCTTGGGGCGACCTTTGTTGAGAAGCTTCAAGGCAGTCACTTCCATATACTATCTCAAGATGAAGTTCCCAACTCCAATGGGGATAGGAGAAGTGAGCGGATCGCAAAACGCGTCTCGCGAATGCTACGTAAAAGCGGTGCAGATGGCAAGCAAGGGAAAGGGCATTTTGCGATGTACGCCTCGCCAAGCTATGGCGATCAGCTGGATCAAGCCACAGCCTGGTCCAGCGGAGGATAATATAGATCCTCGAATCCAGGAAATCCCTCCCAGCGGCTCGGTTGAGGATCTATCCGAGATTTCGGTTGATCCAAAAGAGCCGATCCGAGTTTTAAGAATTGGAAGCTGTCTCAACCCTCAGCTTGCTTCCGAACTGATAAGCTTCCTGGTTGAGAATATCGATGTGTTTGCCTGGTCGCATGCAGATATGGTAGGGATCAGCCCGGACATCACTTGCCATGCGTTAAACATCGACTGTGAGGCCAAACCAGTTCGCTAGAAAAGGAGTGCAATGGATCCGGAGTGGTATGCTGCATTAAAGTCAGAAGTGGAAAAC